TTAAGTACTTCAAAATTTTCTGGGGTGTTACAGGTACGACGTGGGAAGGCCCCTACCAGGTTTCGGCTATCACCGGGAAAGGACCATATGAACTGGAAAATCAAGACGGCAGTAAAATTGCCGAGCAACTGGAATGTGGCATACCTCAAAAGGTACTATTGCTGATGAGCACTGCCTATACTAAAAGTATGTGCTGCACTCTTTTTCCCTTCGTCCAGTTGTGTCCCAATTGGATTTTTCTGGCAAGGTTTTTAACGAGGCATCAACGGAAAGCATATTACAAAGGAAACACCATCAGCAGAAGTAAGACCTTTAAACAACAAGGCATGGAAACAACAAACCACTATGGGATGGTTAGATAGTCTTTGGCTCGATAGCAAAGCTCCTAACGGGAAACAAAGCTTGCTATGAAGAAACAAGTTTTACAAATTAGCCACAAGTAATGGCAATCTCTTTTCAGCAAAACGAATGCTTATGTACTTTTGAAAATGGAAGGAATAAAGTAAAGCCATTTTATTTTGTTTCTTGTCCAAACGATGAATTAATTTTATCATTTGAAAATTAATCAAGTACTTCAAATACTATTGTTGGAATGAACAGGAGATATCCTCTTCAAGAGCACCATAAACATAGGAGGGCCCTCTCTTATGAAACCTTCACAGTACAGGGTTGGTTCCGAAAGTGTTTATGCCAGGAACCCAAATGCTACAAGGGAAAAATACACCTGAAGTCCTACATAATTCGACGCAAGAAAGTAAACTTTGCGCAATGCAGAAAACAAAAAACACTTTTATATAACAAATGTGCCAAGTAGCACAAGTACAAAAGTATGAAAAGAAAACAACAAAGGGTAAAGAAAGCAAAAAACTAAACTACTGCATCCCCAGAATTCGGGGGAAGATGTGCGCCCCCATGAGAAGTAGGCGGATCTGCCGTTGGCTCGGGATCTTGGTCCTCATCATTATTCCCTTCAAGTTCCTCTTCAGTTCTTGAAAACTTGGAACTGGAACCGAAAGAGTCAGTTGCATCGGGTCGAGGCTGGAGGCTCCTTCGGGCGGTTGACTCCACCTCTCGGGCCTTGGTGATCTCGGCATCAAATTCAATGACGCCCGCTTTGGCCTCTTCCAAGGTTTTTCTCCTCATGCTATACATAGTATGTGTTTTCTCAACAGTGAGGGAATCCGCTCGACGCTGGAGCTCTGATTTAACTTGATCAACCTCGATTGAAAGTCTATCTCGCTCGGATCTTGTGGCCCTAAGGCTGAGATCAAGGTCACGGATAGTGGAGATATGAACCTTATTGTGTTCCATGACCTTCTTGTACTTCTCCTCCATTTGAGAATGCTTCTCCTCAGCAGCCGCAGCCTCTTCAGCTTGGGAGTTCAAGGCTGCCTCCAAGTTATTCAATCTCTCAGTAGATACAGCCTCGCGCTCGACAGCAACAAGTATAGTGTTTTGGACCTCAAACCATTTAGCCTTGCTTCTTGAAATTGCACACTTAAATTGGGAGGCCTCTTGGCTGAGGGCCATCACTTCCTGCTCACTCTGCTACAACCGAGCCTCCAACTCACTAGCTTCAGGAGCTTGTGCATCCAGTGCCGGGAGACAAGCAGCAACTTGGTCCCTCTCAGCCAACAGTTGATGCCACTCGGACATAAGCTTTTCTTTATCAAGGATCAACTTCTAAAGGCCCTCAGAAATAAGGAAGTTGGCATGCGAAGCAAAAGCCCAAGTTAGAAATCTTGTCATAACAAATCAACAAAGAACAAAAAGCAAAGAGAACGAGTTCCATACTGCTGATGTGTTGTGCATGTCATTATTTATCATACACTCCCCAGAAAGAGAGTGTATTTTCTTCTTGTCTTTCTCTAAATCCAGCGACTTTAGGTAATTGGCAAGTTCCACCAGTCGGGACAACAGATGGTACTCGGTAGAGACCGAGAGGGAGACACTCCTCCTCTTCTAGGGATCTGCGGAGAGGGGCGAATAGTTGTGCCCTAAATTCCCATGGTCTGGGCATGGAGAAGAGGGGCATCCTCCTTTCGGGTGTCTGCGGTCGGTGCGAGGGAGGGGGGGTGATGTAGCAATTGCCTGTGACGAAGGTATGACCGGCATAGAAGGAGATAAATTTGATGGCGTTGTGGGTTGAGAAGTAGCTGCGGCAAAGGCAGTGCTGGTTGTAGGTTGGTTATCAACCGAAGATGGAAGAGGCTCGGTACTCAGCCTTATAGTACCGAGAGCAGCAATTGGGGGTTCAAAAGCGAGAATTGGTATTCTCCACTAGGTCACACTCTCCCTAGGGCGCTTGGGCATCATCCTCGATTGGTGTTATAAGCTCTTCAGATTGAGCATTTTGTTGAGCTGATGAAGGTCGTCCTCTCTTCTGTAGGGAAGCCCCTTCATCACTGGCTTCCCCATCATCATCAATCACCACAATGGTTGTGGCTGATTCTGGCGCGACATTCTTTACTTTTTTATTTTTGCCCTCGGACGAGGAAGAGAACCGCCTTTTTGGTTGCTTGCTCTCCGGTCGGGGACTCCAAGAGGAAGCACTTGCACCAGAGGTTGATCCGATGGTGCTTGTTCGGGTGAAGGCCTCCTTCAGCAACCTCACAACCTCTACAGGATCAGTCAAAACGTCCTCATCGGGGAAGGTAACAGAGCCCTATGGAAGACCTGAATTCAATGAAAAAAGAAGTTAACCAATTTTCTTATAAAAAAAATAAGATGAGGGCAAGATCAATCTCACGAATCAACTTACCGTTATTTTTGGCCTTCCACCCTTATTTTGGGGCCAGTTCTTTCCACCGGCGGGTCTCAGGCATGGTAATGTCCAGAATCTTCTGAATCCACTGGTCCAAGCCTTCAACCCTTGGTGGTGTCCACCGAGTTGCTAAAATAATGAAAAGAGAAGGATCAGTAACAACATGAAATAACTTTTTTTTAGAGAAAAGACAGACGTTGAACTTACGTGTACGAGTCCATAACTCAGGGAAAGATGGAGTTGTGGCCAAGATGATATCCCTGGTGGCAACAACAACCAACCGCCCCATCCATCCACGGATGTTTTTGTCATCCATGCTGGTGAGCAAAGCGTGGTGGCCACGTTTGCTAAAGTTTATTACTCCCCCACAGAAAATCTTAGGGGAGTAGAGGTTCATCATGCGAGCCAAGATGAGCTCTTCCCCCGTCTCTTGGCACACCCGCCAAAGACAGGCTACCGTTCGCTACACAGAGGGGCCTACTTGTTCCAATCAGACTTGATACCGGTGGCAGAACTCCAAGATCACGGGGTCAAGTCCCTCGCTCAATGAGAATTGGCCCAAAGTGAATAGGTATGTATAAACATACGTAAAACCCTTCTTAGGGAAAGTCTTGCTCCACCAGTTCGAGAGCGATGATGTTCAGGTCATGGCAACCACAATCCTCCTTCACAATAGGAATGCTAGAAGGACGGATGGAAGAAGGGTACACGCCAATAGCCCATGTACGAGAGCTTCTAAAAGAAAACTTCTCTTCGAAGTCCTTGGCAGTGCTGAGTCTTCAGGGAATGATGGTGCTCACTGTAGGAGGGGCAGCATCATCGGTGCTTTCTTTGTTTTTTAGAGAACCATGAGTTCTTGGAGGAGGACACCATGGTTAGAAAAAGGTAATAAGAGTTCTTTAAAGAAAAAAATTACAGAAGAGTGAAAGCAAGAAAGAGTAGAATGCAAAGAAGTTGAGAGAGTTTGAAAACCTATGAAGTGTAAAAGAAGAAGAATGAGGTGTATAAGTAAAGGAATAGGCGGCTAAAATCGTGGCTATGATTACCTCGAGAACCGGCAAAAGTATTGCTAAATCGTGGAGTGACGCGTGTTCGGAGCATTAAATGCAAAGAGACGTGCGCCTAATCAAGCGTCAGAGCTCTGGAGCCTGCTTCACCACTAAGCTTTGCGCACCTACCAGCTCGCGTTAAGCCTCGCAACACTTGGCCTATCGCGCGATCCCAGGATTGTAGAAGTGAGCCCAGGCGCCTGCCTCCCCATGCAGCACTCCTGGCAATGCCAGCTTCTTCTCGCTTTTCATCAGGCCTCGTGCACTATCCACTTCACATCACACAGTGCCATTCTAGGGTTGTAGCGAGATCATGCACGCCTAAAACCTCGCGGCGCCAGGGAAGGTCCAACTCAAACGAGATATGCATCTGTGAACACATGAAGATTGTCAAAAGCTCATGTGATGGTCTCAAGTCATTCAACTGGAATTTCAACATGGTAAAGCTATACAAGGAGTGGCATCTTCATCATCATATACCATGGGAGGACAAGAAAAGGGTACTGTCACTACATACAAATGATACAAACAAGTTCCAAGACATTGAGAAAATGAAGCATGGAACAAAGTTAATTTCAATACTTAGACTATTTTTAGTTATCAATTTAAGGCATGTTGTCAATAAGTTGATATATGTTTTAGCTAGCTCGTACCCTTTTCATAATGTAAGACATTATTTTTGTTTTAAGATGCGCATATTCATCTGTCTTTCAATGTGATCAATATCTTATTCTCCTAAACGGCGCTTTTATACTGTTTTATCCCTATAATCATTTTAAACAGTTTCTCTGCTCGCAATTTCAGTGGCCACCATAATTTTAAAGAAAAAACATATTTGATAAAGAAAAGATGATGTATTTTGACCAGCCCAAAACCAAAGATTTGGTGATAAAGGGGTAATGTGTGTTATAGCCTATGGGATAGCACCAAATATTGATGCCTCCGATAGTCAGATGGCATTTGATTGGATGAAATGCATGGCTAATCAAATAAACGCCTAAATTCCACACCAAGTAAAGTGACCTCTTTAAAAATAGAGAGAAGAGTGTGACACATACCAAATGGTTTGATATGAAAAGAGGCCTGCCCTTTGCCCAGGAGCTCCTTGGCCCCCTTGGNTTCATCAACATCAAACCAAGTAAGTGATCATATATTGGGAATTAAATAATCGTCATTCATTGTCCAAATATTAAAAGATTACAGATGGCAAAAACAGTAATACCCCTCCTATTTCTTGATTCTTGGATGTTAGTGATAAAGTTATATTCCATAAACAAAGATGAGCAATAACCATCGGAGTTAAACCAAAAAAGGATCCCAACCCCATATGCCATAACTATGTTCTCTCTTCTCTGAAAGTAAGGCACATCTCTTCTCAACAACCAAAAACACTAGTTAAAGTGGTAATCAAATAACGGGCCTGGATCCTACACAAAACGCCGTTACCATAATACCCTCACGCGCGCTTCAAAAACCTATTCTTTTATAATTGAATTTGAATGGCGCTTGAGCCATTGACCCTCGCTCCTGCCCCCTTTGACGGCGATTCAAACGGCGGCCGTCAACAATCCGTCAACGGCGCCGATGACGGAAACAGAGCGCCCAGGCTGCCACGATGGACCAGGCAAGAAATCCTGGTCCTCATACAAGGCAAAAGAGTGGCAGAGAACAGGGTCCGAAGAGGGCGTACGGCTGGACTGGAATTGGGTTCGGGTCAGGTTGAACCCAAGTGGGCATCTGTTTCATCCTACTGTACAAAGCACGGGGTGAACCGGGGGCCGGTTCAGTGCCGGAAAAGATGGAGTAATTTAGCCGGTGACTTTAAGAAGATTAAAGAGTGGGAGTGTGGGATAAAGGAAGAAAGCGAGTCATTTTGGGTGATGAGGAACGACTTGAGGCGAGAGAGAAAGCTGCCCGGTTTTTTTGATAGGGAGGTCTACCAAATTCTGGACCGGGGAAGCGGTGGAGAGGAGATAGAGGAAGGTTTAGCTTTGGCTTTGGCGCCTGCAGCAGCAGTTAATGAGCCAGAAGCATTGTTTGACAGCGGGCGGAGTGCAGCAGCAGATGAAGGGTTGTTCTCAGATTTTGAGCAGTCTGAAGCTGGTGACAAAGATAAGCACATGCCTATTCCTGCTCCAACTCCTATTTCCGGTACTATTCCATCCAATAACAGTGTCTATTTTGTTTTTGTTTATTTTATACGGATGACCATCAGATATTATTATTCTAGAATTGCTGCTAGATTACTTTTTTTTTTTTTTTTTTTTCCTGTTAGGTGTAAATGATAAGAATTCTTTCGAAATGTCTGTTTTCACATTAGGCTACTTTTGTTGCTCAAAATTGTACCAATTATGGAAATATAGCCTCTGATAAAGGGCGTTTTCTTCAAGTTTTATCTTTTTAAGCCATTCTTTTCTTTTTCTAGAGATTAATTTTTATTTTCGTTTACCTCTTGGTTCTCTTTTGAGTTGCAGTGCAGTGCACAAATACCAGGTGAACTATGTTGCATGTTTGAGTATTGTGAATAACATATTTTCTCCTTTTCATTCCTTCGAAAAGTACTTAGCTAGTGTGTATCAGCAGCTTCTGCTTGTCTCCAGTGCATAATTCTGAATAGGTTTACTTATTTAAGTCTTCTAGGGAGGTTTATACTTCTGGTATTTGACTTTCTTTAGTTTATGTTAACATTTATTTTTGGCAGAACAGCAGTATCAACCACTACCTATGGAGTGTCATGCTCAAGGTACCTCTAGAGTCCTAAATATGTAAACCCTCTCTGTCGTGAGGTTTGCTTTGATTTAATTCCGTTTTTAAGTAATGATCATCCGTAATAGAAAATAGTTTATACTTACGTCCAACTGAGGTTTTTGCGTTTATACAAAGTGAACGAAGGCATGTATGCATGGTTAATTATCTGTAAAGGTAAATTGTGGTGTTTTCCAAACTTTTCCCGTAATAACTCTAACCCGGTAAGTATAAACTGGTCAAAGCACCATCTTTTATAAATTCAAGAGAAGAATCTTAAATTTGAGTATATGGAACGGAAAGTGATCTTACTGAAAACCTGGTCCTTGGCTCTTTGGTTTTCTGATATCATGCTGGAAGAACCATAGAAACTTTTATCTCTTGATATAAACAGTTGAAGCAATTAGCAGTGTCTATTTAACTGCCCCGAGGTAGATGGAGCTTGTGCGTTACCCTGTCATCATTAATCCCATGTCTAATGCTGGTTTGAAGTTACAGTATTTGAAATGTCATGTCTACTAAATATGAAAAGAATGAAGAGATATGAGATTGTCAAATGTCCTTACTCATGTCCTTTGAAAACAAATCTCAAAAGAAGATTAATTAAACAAGAGAGGGTTACTCATGTGGTAAGCACCCTCCACCTCCAACCCAAATGTTGCGGGTTCGAGCTCCTGGGGAGGGGTAAAAAATAAAAATAAAAAACATTAATTAAACACGAAAGAAAAGAAACACCTCCTTGCAGAAGGCTAAAGAATCGGCCAAAAGAACAAGTTGGAAGTCGGTGATCTTTCCCTTTCTTGAGTTGTGCTATTTGTTCTCCGCAGGTATAAATCATCAAAAGGAACCGACCTCAAATCCTGATGGAGGAAGTGCTCAGGAAGGAAAGAAACGGAAGCGCGGTGTCACGGATACTGATGAAGAAGCGGACAATCTGCAGCATCAGTTAGCCAAAGCATTGGAGAGGAATGGTAATCTGCTGAGCTCCCAACTTGAGGCTCAGAATGCACATTATCAGCTGGATAGGGAGCAGAGGAAAGACCATGTCAATAGCTTAGTAGCAGTTCTTGATAAGCTTGCAGATGCCATGGTTAGAATTGCCGATAAATTGTAGAGAACCTATTGGGGTGTACATAACATGTTATCTCTCACTCCTTGAACCATAATCAATGCTAAAGAATTTTGGTGAGCAAACCAGATACCAGTTGATGGTCAAATTCGATCATTTTTAATTGGTAGTTGGAAATATAATATTCTTTTCAGATTTTGCACTTTCTAAGATTTAATCGTGTTACAAGTTTACAATAATACAGATAGGACTGGGAGGCTAGCTAGCATTAAATAAACAAGTACACTTTATTAGAGATATCTCTTGTTTTCTCACGACTGTACAGATACAAGATAGATGAGTGAAACTGCGATTGTAAGCTGCCATCTTATATGATTTCTATTTAATATGTTTCTTCTGAAAGACTGTTACATTACAGTGTGAAGTATCTCTTCAAAGAATTAAGATTGGGCTATGTTGGATGCTTAACGTGTACAGCTCATTACTAGACTGAGACTTGTGCAAAAATATCCAGGCTTGAGGAGAAGATTCAGAAACTTGTGGAAATGGGATTTCCTGAAGGTCAAGTGAGGAGTGCTTTGGAAGCAACAGGTTGTGGATGAAAACATGGAACTTGAAAAGCTATGCTCTGGCTAGAACCTTCTCTACTGCAACTCATTTTTTGGATACAGAAAGATTATATGCTGCCCATGACAAGGTGAAAGCGTGACTTGATTATACTGTTAATTGACAATTGTTTTATGATTCTTGGTTGACTGCTAATCACTACTTGTGAATTTTCTTATGCAATTTTGACAATATCAAGCAAACTGTATATGAACTTGCATTAAGAAAAAACGTGCACCACCGGGGAAGTACTCCAGGACGAGTATTAGGGTCTGAAAACAGTATCAACTAAAATTATTTTTGCGCTTTCCTATCCATACATTTTACAATTAGGATCTGAAGAGAAATATATCACCACGAAAGTGAAGAGAGCATATACCATGACGAAATAAAAATGTAAACAGAATCACCATAACCACACAAATATTGTACATTAAAGAAATGTTAAAATGTATAATATTATTATTTCAAATGGCCAAATGAACTTAACGTAGTTAGAGAACAACGAAATTAATTGCTAGATAGGAGCGAAATATCTGAAAGAGAGACGGTGAGAGAGAAAAGGAAGAGGAGGGAGGAACTGCATCTTTGCCAAAACCTTCACTTGAATTGTTCTGCCTAGGTACAAAAGGTTACTGATTTAGGAGTTGTCCCTGCCACCTCCAGAGTATCTTGTCCCAACTGATCACGCTTCCCCTTCTTAACCTCCTCGAAGAGATAATTATTAAGATTCGATGTTTGTTGGAAAACTAATTCAAAGTTGTAAAAGAAATCGAAATTATTTAAGATTTGGTATTTGTAAGTTTATTTAATTCATGTTCAAATAGAATTTGTAGTCAGAATTATATAGGAATAGGTTTTCATATTTCTAGTTGAAATAGTTTTCGTACTATTATAAATAGGGGTATTGGGAACTTATTTTATGTGTGGATAAGTGAAGAATTGCCGAGAGATCCTTCAGAGAGATTTATAATAAAATACTTTTTCTTCAAATTGGTATCAGAGTTTCTACGATCTTGGGAGAGAATCAAGTAACTTCCGCTGCCGGCGGGCGGCGCTAGCCAATATGTACCGTCCGTCTGGCCATTGAATATGTTGGAAAACGATGGGCCAATGATATATACACGAAAAACAATCATGCTGAGAAGGATTGAGAAAAAAATTCAAGTTCAAATGAGACGCTAGCAAATATGGACAAGAGGAACAAAGATCTTCTCTAAAAGTTTGAGAGAGGTGGATTAAAAATAAAATTGCAATATTGCAAGTTTAAATAGGTGCAAGCAATTCTGCACAAGATGAAGAAGTTTTTCTCTAAAAGTTGGAGAGACGTTAAACAAAAATGGAAGTTGATTACATATGAATCAACAATTTGGGAGCTGGTGACAGGTGCATTAGCAATTGAATGTTCGAGACAAAGTGCATCAATGGGAGTTGATGACAGGTGCTTCAACAAAATTGAGTGTTGGTGACAAGTGCATCAACAAGAGTTGAAGACAGGTACTTCAACAAAATTGATTTTTGGTGACAAAGTGCATCAACGAGGGTTGGAGAGATGTGCTTCAACAAAAGTAAAAGTTGGAGAGAAGTGCTCTCATACAACGAACAAGTCAGACGTATACAACTTTGAATTATGGGAGAATGTTGAAAAATTAATTCAAAGTTATAAAGGAAATCGAAATTGTTTAGGATTTAATATTTGCAAGTTTATTTAATTTATGTGTAAATAGGATTTGTAGTCAGAATTATATAAGAATAGGTTTTCGTATTTCTAGTTGAAATATATTTCGTACTATTATAAATAAGGATATCGGAAGCGTATTTTATGTGTGATAAAGTAAAATATTATAGAGAAATTCTTGAGATAAATTTATAATAAAATACTTTTCCTTTCACTGTTGAACTCAGCATCAGACTTATGACCAGATGAATCAAAACTATAGTGAATAATATCCTTCAAAGGATTGATCTAGTATGTTATCGGTTCATCATTGGGATTATTTATGCCAACTATATAACTTTGTTTTCTTTTCCTTTTTTTGAAACGTGGATCCTGTTCCGATGGCAATTGGTTTCTTTACTACTAGGATCAAACTTGACCCGCTTTGTGGACACAGACACTTCCCTTTTAATTATAGTAAATTCCTTGCTCTTTTCAATATCCTTGAGCACATTTGTGCAACGTACGCTGCTCACCACAGAGTGATATCACCAAAATGAGTCACATGTTTAGTTTCTGCCACATCTTCCTGCAACCTTATTTATTTTTTAACCTAAAATCTGAGTTTTAGATAAATCAATTAAATTTGTATAAACAATCGAGTTAAACCTATGGAATGATTCTTTGCTAGTAAAAAATAATAAAAAAGTAATGTAATAGATAGAATAACAAAGTAAAGTTCGTATTGAGTAGTTCTTGGCTTAGAGAAGCTGATGAACAATGCCAACAATTGAAAGAAGAATATTATAGTAAAATCAACATAACAACAGTATGTGAGATTGAATCAGAATCGGGTACAATCGCAGGGAAGAGAAATATTTGTACAAATTATTGTAATTGCCCCGTAGAATCTCGCCCCCACGTTGTATCCATTATCTAAAGGTAACTGTGTATCCCGCCATGATCAGTTGTGTTATCTGGGGCGTAAATGCAGGAAGTGGTTAATGGTGGATCCTAAATATTCCTTGGTCCATTGACTATGAGATGATATATACCTAGATACTCATGACCTTTCGGGTTTTCTGGTTCGTAGAACATGTCCATCTGCACGTAATTTGACTATTCGGGCTTGAAATAGCCTGATTGGCGGATGATCTCGGGCTGGCTTCTTGATACTCAATCTTCGATCTAACTATTTGCATGACCTTGAGCTGACTGGGTAATGCTTGCCATATGTTATCTCTTGCCATGGCTACATGTCATGCACAAATTTTTGTATACGGTCAAAACCGGGTTCACCTATTGTGTGATCAATCAAGACTGAAGCGTGACAGGTTAAAGCTCGATCTCGGGTTATATCGAACCAAGGGGGCGAAGTCAAATCGTTGAACTCGTGACTCTGGGACCGAACAAAATCGAGACCAAACAAGATCGAGAGAAATTTGCCGAGCCGAATAACAGAAGGCCGAAGTATCCGCGATCGGTTGGGGATCACGGCGAAAATTCCGGCACATATCAAGGAGAGGCCTATTAATTAGCAAATCATGAGATTTTTTTACCTTATATAGAATTGTATTAAGAGTAGGACTCTCATACTATAAAAATGGGGTCTCATCATTTGTAAGGGACATTGCAATACGCAGCACAAAGCAATATACTGTTATTTCTAGCCTTTATCATCTTGTTATTTTGTTCTTACATCAGTTGAGGCATTTTTTGGTTTGAGGGTGATCGAACTCGAAGCCCAAGGCTGTTCAATTTGTGTGGTTTGCATTTATTCTTTTATCGTCAATTTCAATACTAATCTGTTTTCTTAATTTGTATCAAGCTATATCACGTATCCTTAAAATCGTGTATAAATTTAATTGTTATCCGATTTTAAGGGTAAACAGTTTGGCACCCACCGTGGGGCTAAGGATAATAGTGATTATCTGGTACAAACTTTTATAACACACACTAGTTTATACTTGTTCTTTGGAGTATCTTTGATTCCAGGACCAAAATGTCGAACTCTCAGTCAACACCCCTACACGTTGACAATGATTTCAGTCACCACGACGAAAATGATAATATAACGCTAGGGAACGACGCACCTTTGGTTGGCCTCGATGGAGTTCCGGCTGTAGATCCAATCGACGTCAGCTCTCATGTAGCCATCAACGCAAATTTGGCCGTCGAACCCAAGGGCAGCATCCGTGGAGATGTTTGATCAGCCGCTCAAAGCACACATGGAGGCAAAGAGGACGGGATCAGCCTGCAGGTGATCTTCGAAATGTTGCAGGCTCAACATGCAGCTATAGCCCAGCTCCAAAACCAGAATCACCCACCGAGCAGGATCGAGCCCGAGCCGTCCTAGGAAGTTGTCCACAGGGTCGAATCGGCTTCAAGGAAATCCAACGGGAAAGAATCGGGGACCGATTCTACCATCATGAAGATGCTTGAAGAACTGAGTAAATGAACTGAGTCGGGGGAAAAGAAGATCGAGGAAAACGACAAGAAGGTGAAAACTTACAACTCCAGGGTCGATCAAATCCCGGGGGCACAGCCAATATTGAAGGGTTTGGATTCCAAAAAGTTCGTGCAAAAACCTTTCCCCCCGAGCGCGGATCCCAAGCCGATTCCCAAGAAGTTCCACATGCCCGAGATTCCTAAGTACAATGGAACGACCGACCCGAACGAGCATGTCACCTCTTACATATGTGCTATCAAAGGGAATGATCTAGAGGATGATAAGATCGAATCTATCTTGCTAAAGAAATTCGGAGAGACCCTATCAAAGAGAGATATGATATGGTACCACAATTTACCACCTAATTCTATTGACTCATTTGCTATGCTTGCAGATTCTTTTGTAAAGGAACACGTCGTGGCCATCAAGGTCGAAACCAGGAAGTCGAACCTTTTCAAGTTAAGGCAGAAGGACAATGAAATGCTCAGAGAATTCGTGTCTCGATTCCAAATGGAATGGATGGCCCTGCCACCGGTCATCGATGATTGGGTTGTTCAAGCTTTCACCCAAGGACTCAATGTTTGAAGCTCGGTGGCTTCGCAATAGTTGAAGCATAATTTGATAGAATACCCGACTGTTACTTGGGCTGATATGCATA